CGTGTTCCACAACGCCGCGCTCTTCATCCGCGACGGCGCGCGCGAGCTGGCGGCTGAGCTGGCTCTGCCCGAGGCCCGCGCCTACGTGGCGGCGCTACAGCCCAGCAGCTACGTGGCCGTGAGCACGCACACGCCCGCACCTGGCTTCCTGGAGGACGCGTCGCGTACAGTGTGCTACCTGGACGAGGAGGAGGACGCGTGGCGCACGCTAGCCACTCTGCCCCTGGAGGCCAGCACGCTGCTGGCAGGCGTAGCCACGCTGGGCAACAAGCTCTACATCGTGGGGGGCGTGCGGGGCGCCAGCAAGGAGGTGGTGGAGCTGGGCTTCTGCTACGATCCCGACGGCGGCACCTGGCGCGAATTTCCCAGCCCACATCAGCCGCGCTACGACACGGCGCTGGCCGGCTTTGATGGCCGCCTCTACGCGATCGGCGGCGAATTCCAGAGGATGCCCATGAGCTCCGTGGAGCGCTATGACCCGGTGGCGGAATGCTGGAGCTTTGTGGCCGACTTGCCGCAGCCGGCTGCAGGCCCGCCCTGTGCGCAGGCGTGTGGCCGCCTCTTCGTGTGTCTGTGGCGGCCGGCTGCCACCACGGCCGTGGTGGAGTACACAGTGCGGGCAGATACCTGGCTATCCGTGGCCGAACTGCGGCGTCCACAGAGCTACGGCCACTGCATGGTGGCCCACCGCGACAGTCTCTATGTGGTGCGCAACGGCCCTTCCGACGACTTCCTACACTGCGCCATCGACTGCCTCAACCTGGCCACGGGCCAGTGGACGGCGCTTCCTGGCCAGTTCGTCAACAGCAAGGGAGCGCTCTTCACGGCCGTGGTGCGCGGCGACACAGTCTACACCGTCAACCGCATGTTCACGATGCTCTATGCCATCGAGGGCGGCACCTGGCGGCTGCTCAGGGAGAAGGCCGGCTTCCCGCGGCCGGGCTCCTTGCAGACCTTTCTCCTGAGGCTGCCTTCTGGCGCCCCAGGGCCTGTGGCCTCGACAACCCCAGAACTGTGAGCCCTAGAAGCCCAGGGTCACAGTTTGGAGGAGTACCAAGAGACTTCCCTGAGCCGTGGCTGAATCTGTGAAGCTGGCCTTGGGAGCTGCTGGGAACTTCGCTCTCCATGGTT